CTTAGATCACCCATGTGGGACTTCTCCAATGAGATAGGAACTGGTTTTGATCATTTAAGTGGGGTGGGTCCCCTCACTGGTCTTCTAGGATAATCAATAGGAATGTCCTATTCTAGATCCAAAATTCTATGAAGGAAACTAGACCTCACCAAAAATGAGGTCAACACCCTCCTAAATACGTAAAAATATGAATTTGAGGAGGGAAATTGCCCTTATGAACCTTACCTGGGTCCGCCTCTGACTATGTGAGATGTAGTCTACATAGGTCGTAATTGGTCATATAAGTCTTACCACAGAGCTATAATGATGTCTGTTAGCCATAGAGGCAGGAGTCGGAAGCTACATTAGTGGTAAGCCCCTGAGGCCATAGTTAGTCATATAGGTCACAACAATGAGCTAAAATAGCCATCTATATGCTATAGAGGCAAGAGTCAAGAGCTGCACGAGTAAAAAACCACGTAGGCTATGGTTTCTCACATAGGTTATAGTAGCTATTGTGATAAAATTTGTAGGCTACAGAGGACAGAGTCAGGTTGCACAAACTGTGAACCACGTAGGCCTTAGTTGGTCATGTAGGTCGTAATGGTGAGCTTTGATGACATCCGTAGACCATAAGGATCAGAGTCGGGAGTTGCACAAGCTATGGACCACATAGGTCGTAATTGGTCTAATAGACCATAGTGGTGAGCTATAATGAGGTATGTATGTCATTGGGGTCGGAGTTAAGAGCTGCAAGGATGAAGTTTTAGCAGATTGAAGAAAGTCACCATCTTTGGGGTATTTTGTTACATTGTAGGGAGGTGTCGTTGCACCACAAGTGGAGTACATTGTTACTTTACAATGTATGCAAGGGTTTCACAGTGTACATTGTGATTTCATAAGAGACTTTGCTGCAAGGAATAGGCCGATGACGGTCGACAGTGGTCGTCGGTGTTGAGGGCAATGACCAAACTTGGATGGAGGTGGCGACAACTAGAGCTGGCCAAAGGGTGATGACCGGAGTTGGATGGAAATGGTGGAGGTTAGAGTTAGTTACTAGTGGAGGCGATTGGAGTTGTTTAGAGACAGGGGCTGCAGTTGAAGTTGGCTGAAGGCTATGACGACTAGAGCGAGAGGTTGATGGTAGATAATGATGTGCCTAAAAATGTACTATTTTTTATGTTATATTTTATAATGATAATGCAATTTAAAGGTATGTTTTATGGTGTTTTTGGTTGTAGGTAATTCAAATTGAAGAATTTGGAGTGATTGGAGCAAAAGGAACAAAAACGAACCAAAACGGAGCAAATCAGGACAAACCGAGGCACACCGAAGCCATTGAGGCTAAACCAGGGACTTAAGTGCCTGTGCCCGACGCCTAAGCTCCCAAAATGGCGATTAGGCGCCACCTAGACAGAGAGGAGGGCGCTTAAGCGCCCAATTAAGCGCCCAAAATTGGTGCTTAAGCGACAAAAACTGTTTTCAACATAAATTCTAGAATATACATCAGATTTGGATAATTTTTAAAGCGGTGCTTCCTGTGTCTCTTGAGGAATTTGTTGAAAATGATAAAAGAGACTTTCTAGAAGGATTTGAGGATGTTATAAGAAGTTTTGAAGAGGCACTTGAGGCACCTTTTGGAAAATTCATTGAATATGGACCTTTTTTAAGAGACACTTAAGAATCTCTTGGGAAATTATAATTAAGGCTTGGAAATATTCTTAAAATGACTCTTGAACTGTTGAATTAATTGGAAGAGGAGAATAAGACTTGGAGAAGAAGAAGAAGGCTTGGGCGTGAGCCCCAAGTGGGGCGACAAGGTGAGAGAAAGATAGAGAGTGAGAATTTCTTCTTTTCTTTTCATTTTGTTCTTGGAGAGGATTGTAAGGAGATTGCTTTTGTTATAAAAGGAGAGTTTGATTTCTGTCAAAGATAAGTATTTTTATTGTATTTTGATTTGAATTTAGTACTTTATTTGTTGTATGGTTTCAAAGACTTGTTCAATGAAAAGTTCTTGTTGTTTCTTAGATTTCCTTATTCTTCTCTTTTATAATGAAGTAGTAAGCATGTGTAGGATATATAATTGAGTAGAGTGAGAATATATTGTGATGTTTTTACTTTGGTCTTCATTTACATGTAAACTTGATCAACTTGCATGTTAAAATCTGTTGTGAGAACATGTAAGATCTGTGATGGTGGTGTCTCAATCAATAGTGGTAGAATTGCATGAGATTGTATGGATGAGAATGTAGTCCAAATGTGGTCCATATGGTTGAGTGAAAATAAATAGGAAAATAATCTTTGATGGGTGTAGAATTAGATAAATTTAGAGTGACAGGCTAAAGCCTCTAATTTGGTCTATTGTTTTAGGTTTTGATGCGAGATGTTAACCTCCAGGTTGAGGGATAAGAGGGAACTTGAGTGAGAGCTAGTATCATCCCTACCTAGCCCGTTTTCAAAACTATTCAAACTATAAATTAGCCAATATTCTTTATAGCATCTCTAGTAAGGGTAAGGAATATTATTAAGAGTAACAAATATAATTGCTTCTATTTGTCACAATCTCTCACTACCTATTTTACTTTAACACATGTCACTAATTTCATTGCAAACACATGTCACTAATTTCCTTGCATGAAGAAGGGTAATTTTAATATATTAAACCCCACTTTCTGATTTTCACTAAGTATTTTAGTTTAGAAGTAGAAGTAGTATTGTAGTGATAATTGTAGGATATAATCAAAACCAAACCTTTATCAACCTTCCAAGCTAGGGCGTGTTCTTCTAAACTAGAACTTCCCTTGAAAGCCGCCTTGATTAACCTTGATCTCTGTGGGATCGATATTTTTGGCTTAATCAAAAAGCCCTATAATACTTGATAACGATATGTATGCTTGCGTATGTATGCTTACATAGAATCCTAACAATTTAAAAATAAAATTGAAATCTTACTTTGCTTGGAATCAAGTTCTTGGCTCCATTACCGGGGATTAAAATCTTCGAGTAGTGGTGTCAACTTCATAAATCCTTACATATAAAAAGTATCGGGATAGTTAGCAATGATCGATGAGTGGTGGTTGACTGCAGTGTGAGGCTACAGGTGTAGGAGGCTGATAGTGGTTGGCGGTTGCAGGAGCAGGAGGTGGATGGTGACTGGTTGTGGTTGACAGTTGTTGAAGCAGGAGGCGTTTGCTGGATTATTGGTGCAGGATCCTAGACTTCAGATCCCCCTTCTCTATGCTCTGGCCTTCTCTTGCTCAGGGTCTAGTCCCCTCCTATGAGGGGGGTATGGATTTCTTTATAAAGTCCAGATTGTAAATAAGGAAGAAATTTTGAGCACCCTTAATCAAAAGGTCCAAAGAGATCCCCTTGATTAGATGGTATGTGAAGACATTTCAGTATCTTAATGATGTCAAAATTGAGAGATTTTGAGGTCGTTGGATTTTTCTCGTCAAGAAGCTAAATTTGACTATAAACTTGCTAGATGTTAAGTACATTTCATCGACCATACAATTATGCTTAAAAAGCTCTTAAAAGTTGTTTAATGTCTTGATTTGACTCAGATCATACCAATTTTGGTACCGTTAGGTCCGTTTCATTAAGCCATTCAGTTTGACTATAAGATCGTTGAAATCAAAGTTCTGGATAACTTTTGATTTAAGTTTGAATGTTTCTTGCTAAAAAAATTGCCACAAGATTCGTAACATGCTTTGAAATTCATGTTGGATGATGAAAATTTGTTGATGGTGTATCAGTAACACATAGACTTACTTTTTATATACATGACATATCAATTTACTTATACATGAGGACATGTATCTTATGTTTAAAAATTAAAAATGATAGTATTTTAATGTGATATGAAAATTTTGGGAGGTATAAATATAAAAAGCAAAATTTAGATATTAGATATGTAAATACATATGAATCGAGTAATATGCATGTAAATGGCAAAATAGGAAATAAAGACAATTTTCTCTAGCTTTAAATCAGCTTGAATTTGACGTGGCATAAGAACTGTTTGATTGGGGGTAGAAAGTTCTTTTGTTTGATTCGGCTTAAATGCAATGTAACATTTGAATGCATGTAACGATTAAATGCATTTAAAACTCTCTTTTATTCACATATATTTGAAATTCCTTTTATTAGGTTGAATTTTGAAAGAAAAATTTACATATATACAACTCAACAATTATTCTCTTTAGCCATTGGATTTTCGACTGCTTTTATATGGTATCATATAAAAAATAAATTCATACATTTATTATAGATCCAACCAAAAGATTACACTTATTTATTTAATGCACTATATATTTTGTTTCATGTATTTATTTTTAACAAAAGAAACAAACCCTTAATAAATCATATATTTACAGTGAACTAGGGAAAAACTAGAATTAGAAAACAGTAGTTTTTATGTTTTCTTTTATTTCCATTAATAAATTATTTAAATTTAATTTTTTGGAAAAAATTAATTAAAATTAACTTAAGAAATATTTGATAAATGAACTGCGGGCTTTCTTAAAATTAACTTAAGAAATAGGTGCTCCAATTACATTAAGGCATAAAAATAATATTTAATTTAATAAAGTTATAATTTTTTAAAACAGGGTGTTACACTCTGTGCGGAGTGCGGGCAGGAAAAACTTTTACCGGAACTGGCTCCAATTAAATTAAGGCATAAAAATAATATTTAATTTAATAAAATTATAATTTTTTAAAACAGGGTGTTACACTCTGTCTGCGGAGTGCGGGCAGGAAAAACTTTTACCGGAACTCTTCACTTCGCTTCTTCTGGGGTTCTTCTCGGGTCCTGCTCCAAACCCTCGTCTACATCCCTCCCTCACTCCCATCTCGACCTCGACCTCGCGGTAACAGTCGCCCATCTCGACCTCGACCGCCTCGCGGTAACAGTCGCCCATCTCGACCTCCCTCGCGGTAACAGTCGCACCTCGCGGTAACGGTCGCCCATCTCGACCTCCCTCGCGGTAACAGTCGCCCATCTCGACCTCGTGGTAACAGTCGCGAGCTGGGAAGTAAAGACGGTATCGCGGCGTACAAATACCACTAGAACTCCCATCTTTCTCCTCCTTCCGATCCGCTCCGAGCAAGGTGAGTATTTTCCTGTTCGCGCGAGGCTTTCTTTTTCCTCGCGTCATTTAAGGCCAAAATCCGTGAAATCCGGATATGTCATATCCGCGGCTTTATTTTGTCCACACTGACTGTCTGACTAGATTTATTTAGCCTAAATCCAGGTTAAATCCTGGTCTAACTTCTTCTCGAGGTTGATTTTTTTTGCCATATGATAGGATTTTAAATAAATCCGGGTTAAATTCTAAAACCGAAAAGCATCATCTGGATCACTTGACTCCTTTCGGCCACGAAATTTGGATCAGTCATGGATAAGCCGAAGTTGCAGGTTTTTAACTCTATGTCGAAGCAGAAGGAGGTTTTCAAACCGATTGAAGAAGGTAAGGTGGGCATCTATGTTTGCGGTGTCACACCATATGATTTCAGTCACATCGGTCATGCTCGTGCTTATGTGGCGTTCGACATACTCTACAGGTCACTTTTTCTTTGATTTCCTCCAACTGTAGGTTTTAATCGTGCTTAATCTTGATTTAGCACTTTTGCATGTTTTTTTGAACGAAATGGTGTTTAATAAATTGTTATCTTTCCCTTTTCCGGTAATTTGAGAACCTTATGCCATATGTGTATTAACCTATTGAAAGCTGGATTAAGCTGTGCTCATTGTTTAGTATTTACATAATTGCCCATTTGCACAAGTTCTTATCACATATCTCTTACACAAAACTTGTTTTCTAGCACCATTACTGCTTCTGAAGGTCTCAAAACTGCCAAAAATATGTTGCAACATGTCTTGACTTGACTGCAGTGAGGTTATTTATGATGCTTTCAGGGAAGCTTTTCTAGAGATGAGTGTCCCTATTATTGCTACTTGCAATGCAGTGTTGGAACCATCAAATTAATTTCTCTTTCGTGGAGAGTTTGCAGATCAAAGCTAGTTGTAAGAAGAGCTTATTGTTTTCATATGGAAATTAATTGGACAAAAGGATAAATTTTTTTAGTTATAGATTTTGGTTGGGTTTGGGTTATTTCTTACAGAAACCTGCTCTTTTAAAGAACTTTAAAATATTTGGTGTTGTTATCTTTGCCCCTTTGAAATGATTCGTTATGATTTACTTTGTTATTAATTTATTTAAACAAAGTTTATATATTTTTTGTTTATTTTGTTCTTACTTTGTTATTAATTTATCTAAACAAAGTTTATATATTTTTTGTTTATTTTGTTCATAAGCAAAATTTCAACATAATAAATGGTTTTGACTCATTTGAATGCGAATTACAAGCTTGCTATTTTCTATTCTGCACTATATATCTAAATCAAGGCTTCATTTGAAAATTAAATGTTACTATTGTGCTATGAAAGAGTGTGCAGAGGTGGGTGAATTGCTTTGCAATGATGATGCGAATAATTGAGAATCCATGAAAGTGAGGCACTTGCAATATTGGGGCTTGATTGCACATTTCATACTTAAATAAAAATTTTTGAATTGCTAGATTTTTGAAAAAAATTAAAGCAGCATAAAACTCCTTTTGTTTTCCTCAAATTTCTATTTTTTGTTACTATTGAGATATATGGTTTCAAGACTTCTAAATCCTAAATGCTTATTTTTTAAGTATGAACCGTTGATAAACCTCTCAATTCACCATCTAGAGTTTTAAACAATTAAAGTGCACCATTTTTTGATGGGATCCTGAAAATTCTTTCTAGCGTTCAATATAGGCATGGTTTCCTTTCTTTTAATCTATTACTAGTAAAAATGTTTGTGCATACCAATTAAAGTGCACCATTTTTTGATGGGTTGATAGGATCCTGAAAATTCTTTCTAACGTTCAATATAGGCATGGTTTACTTCCTTTTAATCTATTACTAGTAAAAATGTTTGTGCATATGACACACTCATTAAATTTAGCTATATATATTTCAGTTGTATATATTCTTAAATTTTTGTTCAATGAGAGTAAAAATATTACATAAAATGTAATATATGCATCTAAATTAATGAGAATTCATAATCAATGTAAAAGAAAAAAATTCACATTATATGTGTTTCTTGCAGTATTATATCTATGTGCTTGATCTTATTTTGAAGATATGAAAATAAAATTATAACTGTTATTTGTCCTGTCAAAAGTTTGAATATAAGCAATTGACATTAAATTAAAGCTATCACTTTCTAATCTTGTTAGAGGTTTGCATGCCTAGATGACACTTTTTTAGATTATTAGGATTGTGACACTATATACTTCAGCTTTGGGTTGTTAAATGAACCAGGATCTTAATATGACTGTCATGTACTCAGAATTAGCTTGAATTATTGTGTAATAGCTTAGTGAGGCAGAGGCTGTTGGAACTGTCAGGGCATATAGCTTAAACCTTTTTTGGGGAATTTCAGCAATGTGATGTATTAAGGCTGAAAGAATGGAGCTATAATTATGTTATTTATTTTTAAGACCTTAGCATAAAATTTCATCAATTTATGAAGTTGAAAGAAAAATTGAGATCTGGATCTAGTCCTATTGTGAAGATTTCAATATCATTGAGCCCCGACCTCGGGATGGCAAAATAAAACCCAACTTTGTCCTATATGTTTTTGACTTTAGCTTAAATTGGCGAGCTGATTTACATAATGTATTTCATGAAGTTTACAATCTTTTGACTAGATTTTGTAATTATGATTAACTCTTTACGTGGCACACACCAAAGGAAAATTGCATAATTAATGCCAGAAGCTCATCTTCAGTAATTTGTAGTGCTGGGTTTTAAGTTCTATATAACGGAATTGTTGATTTTAAGCCCACCAAGGTCATTGTTTTTAAATGAGTGTTTTTATTATGAAGTAGCTTACACAATATTTTCAATTTCCCACCAATCAAGTTGGACATGGCTATCAAGATACAAAGTATCTAGAGCATGTGTTGGGTTTACTAAAATTAGTCATGTCCAAAACGTAAACATGGCCTAGGATGAGATGTGCAACATCCATTGCTAAGATTTCAAATCAAAACTTGTCTGTGTATATGACAGGTGGAATAGGATAAGCACCTTTGGTTTATGGAAATTGCAGTCTTATATACCCGACTATGTAAGGTTTTGATGTGTTGTATAAATTTTTAATTAAATGCCTTCAAAAGCTGATATGGTTATTAAATTCATACAACTCCCATTGTCTATATCAACTTTGCAAAGTTTTAATTTTTAAAGCACTCTTAAAAAATTGAAGTTTGTTGCCTTTCATGTTCAACTTTATTTGTGATAATGATACATCAAATGACGCTTAAAAAGCTTTTGACCAAAATATTCTCAAAATCATTTTTTTTTCATTGAATTCATGCAAATTTTCCCTTTATCATTATTGATTATATTCTTTTAAATATTAATGTAAAAGTTTTTACTATGTCACTTGCAATGTGAGCTTTTTGGTGACATCTAAACAAATATTAGCAACAATTTTGGAACCTATTACAGTAACTACCAACTTTACTTTTGATTCTTTGTAGTTGACCGTATTACTTCTTTTATATGTGACCATTTTACATCTTTTATATGTGATTGTTAAGGCTTGATTATTTTTGCTAGAAAGAAAGAATAATTTCCCACGTACAAAGTAAAACTAGATTGTTTTGGGTATAGGAAATTATAGTAGTTGATCGAAATTCAAACCTATTTAAAAGCCTTCCGTGAATGGATTTATGTTATGAGGAGTTATCTATCATTTGTGTGTAGGACTTAGTCTTCAATCTTGAATTTTTTATTTTCAAATCTTTTCTAATTTTTGGCGTGATAATAAACTTGTAAATACTTCATTATGATTTTAGTTCCTTGTTTAAGCGAGTCAAATTAATTAAGCACTAGATCTTGAGAAGATTTTTGTAAGTATTTTCCTTTTAACAAATGTGCTAGTAAAATCTAACTGTGAACACTCTTTTTGTCATTCGTCAACTACCCAATACATTTTTGCTTTGGCCTTGGCTAGTAAGTTTTAATCTTGCATATCTTATTTATTGCTTTTCTGACATGGTTTTCTAATAAAGAAGCTACTCTATCAAAGAAGCTTTAGTATTTATGTTTCCATTGTAACCAGAACATCCACTTTAACCTTCCTAGTTTTTTTCTCATCGAAGTCTTAAAGTTGTTGTTGATGGTTATCATAATATTCATTAGCACACCTAATACCAGACTTAATCCACAATAAACAAACACATATTATTACTGGAAAAGCAAATAGACAGTTACAACTAACACACTTAAAGAGAAAATGACAACAACATGGCACCCGAATATCTGAAAGTGCGATAAATGACAACACTAACTCAACTAGGGTGGATCTTGTGGTGGTAGTGATCGGCGAGAGTTTGGACCTCCGAAGAGGTAGCGAAGGGCGGTTGGAATTCCAGATGGTGGGACAACGATAAGGGGTGTTGGTGGCAGCAAAGGGAAGGTGGGAAACTACTGGAACAACGAGAAGATGGGCTGTCCTATGCTTTGGAAGCAAAGATTAGGAACTGGACAGTGGCCAAATAGTAGAGGAAGTGCTATTTTGGATTGCAGCAGCAAGGGAGGAGGCTGGTGACAATAGGGGGATGATGTGGACTGCAAGACAGCGAAAGAATGGCTCTCTGGGGTGGCAACAACGAGAAAAAGTAGGAAACTTCAGGAACAAACAACAGTATGTGGCTGGTATGTGGCTGTTTAGGCTACTGTAGCAGATAAGGGGCAGTTAGGAGCGCTGTAGCGAGGATGTGGAAGGGGGTAGGGAATTTAATTTCCATCTCAAAAGTGAGATACAACCAGAGGACCATCCCAGATACAACCGTCAAATCGAAAAGTATGTGGCTGTTTGGGCTACTGTAGCAGATAAGGGGCAGTTAGGGAGCGCTGTAGCGAGGATGTGGAAGGGGGTAGGAAATTTAATTACCATCTCAAAAGTGAGATAAAACAGAGGACCATCCCAGATACAACCGTCAAATCGAAAACGAGACGTTGATGACTGTCCTTATACAAAACATAGAAAAAAATCCAATCAAACACTACACATATATAGGAAATGACTAGAAAAAAAATGAAAGGAATGAAGGAAACTTGCTAAAAATTGGAAAGGAATCGAAAATATGGCTGCTTGGTTCAGGTTTGAGCCGATCACGTGAGTTGGGTGATCGCATGGTTGTGGGATTGCGAAAAGCCGCTTTTGATCCTGTAGCGTGATACATCCGCTTCATTCTTCTAAGGTTAGGGAGCTTCGACCTCATTCGTCGAAGCTTCTATATGCACGTTGATGATGATAGAGCTGTTGTAACCTCTTGGGGTTGAAGAAACTTCGATTGCAACCCTAGAAGCACTTGGATTCCTTTTTCGACTGCACTGTCTCAAAATATATGAGTTATCCTCACTTGCAAGCAGCCATCCATATCGGTCCAACCTTCTAGAGGTACACTAAGGAACTGAATTGGGATCGTGTGTGACGTATGTTGCACTGAAT